ACAAATCGCCGTGTATAATAAAGTCGGCCAATCACTAAAGCCTCATTCAGAACCTCGTAATTAGCATAGATAACAAAGCCTTGGTAATTAGTGGTTTCAGTTAACGTAAAAGTTTGTTGTCAAAATAGTTGTCAGTCAAAATTTATTATATTCTAATACAAATTAATATTTTGGAGAAGGTAATGAAAGAAAAATAAAGAGAGGTACTTTTTGAAAAAGTAAGTAATAAAATGTATGGAATGGAATGGATTAGTTGGATGGAAACAAATTTTATAGACTAGCGGTACCAGTTAAGAACTGTTTTGTTGGCTATAAAAAGTTATGTAAATAATATAAAGAAATAAATAAATAAATAAAATATACACAGTACTGTTCACAATCAAAAAATTAGTGGTAGTACTTTTCAATTAGTGGAAAAAGTTCGCAAACTCCAAACTTTTACCACTAATTATAATAATTATTGGAAAACGCCTTTGCGCATGTGAGCGGATATTTTATGTCAAAAGCAAAAAGTTTGCTTAATGCCTAACAACGGGATTATTGAGTTCATTTCTCCCGTTGTTATTATAATGGTTGTCATTATATGCAAAAAATATTTATGCAATATAAGTAGTATCACATAAAATACCCTAGTTAATAATAGTTATTTATCCTAGTTAAGGTAAATTTTCACTTTAGCGACTTTTCCGAAAAATGGCAGGAAAGTTCCCAAAATGCCAAAAATAGGTGTGGAGGGATGTAAAAGTGCATAAACAATCGGCGCAGGGTGAAAAAGTGGTATAATTATCGCGTATTTAATAAAAAAAAGGGGCTAATAATTGAAGTGACTTCCCGTGATTTTCTGTGAAAAAGAACATGCAGCGAGCCAAAAATACGTATCTAATAGACGTAGAATTTGAAAAAGGAAGTGGAAAAGCGTGAATTATGAAAAACAACGTCATGAATTGAGGAAAATGCAATTTTTAAAATCAGGTAATTTGAGGTTATGAAGATTAGCTGTCATCTTGGTTATGCAGGTACACTAAAATGGGCAAAGGTGAGCGAAACCAACCTAAACCAACCCAAACTTAACAACCCAACCCAACCGACCCCGCCCCATTGCCCCCCCCCCGCCCCATTGAGCAATAGAGGTATAATATATCTATGGGCAAGCTGGATTGTGAACCTGCATAACCTCAAATTACCTGATTTTAAAAATTGCATTTTCCGCAATTTTTGACGTTGTTTTTCATAATTCAAGCTTTTTCACTTCACTTTCAAATTCTACGTCTATTAGATACGTGTTTTTGACTCGCTACATGCTCTTTTTCACAGAAAATCACGGGAAGTCACTTCAATTATTAGCCCCTTTTTTTTATTAAATACGCGATAATTATACCACTTTTTCACCCTGCGCCGATTGTTTATGCACTTTTACATCCCTCCACACCTATTTTTGGCATTTTGGGAACTTTCCTGCCATTTTTCGGAAAAGTCGCTATAGCTTTATAAAGTGAAAATTTACCTTAACTAGGATAAATAACTATTATTAACTAGGGTATTTTATGTGATACTACTTATATTGCATAAATATTTTTTGCATATAATGCACTTCAATTATCAGCCCCTTTTATTAATTACGTGATAATTATACAACTTTTTTACCCTGCGCCGATTGCTTATGCACTTTTACATCCCTCCACACGTATTTTTTGCATTTTGACAACCCCCAATCCGTTTTTCGGAAAAGTCGCTAATGTGTAAATTTAATCTAGTTAATAGTTAATAGTTAATAGTTATTCATCCTAGTTAATAATAGTTATTCATCTTGTAGGTATAATTTTTACTAAGTTGGCTATATTCGCAGAAAAGAACACCGAATTCTACAAATTCGTCAACTTGGGTTTTTTGCTCATAGCTTGTTTTTAATATAATCCCAAAAATTTCATGGATTTGCATCAGCTGAGTGAATCGTTTGTCATCATCAAAATATATACATTTTATTTGGAAACCCTATACCATATTTGAACCTAAACCACCAGTTTTACTATGTACAAACTTTGAAAGATTGTAAATAGAGGGTTTTTAAATTTGAAAAGTGTAAAATCTTAATAATATATTATGTATCAAGTTTGATAAACGCCATTCTAGTCACGAATTTAATTTAGGCACAAGCGAATGCTTAATTAAATGATTGTCTACTCTCTAAAAGTGAAACAGTGAAATTTTCACTATTTCCGTCAGTGAGTTATTATTCACTGTAAAATTAGTGTTTTTCAATATAAATTAGTGAAATTTTAACTTCTTCAAATTAGTGTTTTTTATTATCACTACTTTTCCGGAACTCTCGACATAAAATAGTGAAATTTTAACTTTTTTGAACTAAACCTATTTTACTAATTTGTACAGTGTAATTTCCACTAAATAAATTAGTGAGTATTCACTAATTGCTAGTGGTATACTTATCACTGCGGCAAATATTTAATATGCACTGTCAAACAGTGAAAATCCACTGTTTCATTTTTAGAGAGTAGAAAAGTTTATAAACGAGTTGCCTACTATACTTTTTTTACGACAAATACTAAAAAAATATTTCAATTAAATATTTGTATAAAGCGACATCTATACGAAAATAAAGTAACCATCCCAATAAACATTTTTGACGTAATTTGCACCATTAACATTGCCCGTTATTATTTTAATTAAACTTAATAATTATAATTATTGATACGTTAAAATAACAAAATATGTTTATGTTATTGCAAAATATTATCACAAGTATGTTAAATGGGAAATGTTAAAGGTACAAAAGTTGTATTTACTGTTATTCCTGTTAGAATTTCTAACTTGAAAATCTACCGGCGTTAAAATCTCAAATTTTAAATCAAAATTTATCCCTTGAAAATATACTAACAATCTATATAGAAGCAGATAGAACAGTAAAAGAGAAGAGAATGTTTTATGGGTACTGTGTGCAAAATTTTTAACGCTTTATTAGTTAAATCTAGTTTAATACACTACTACGGCGAAATCAAAAGGTCACTACAAACTTTCATATAATGTTTTCAAATATTGGCGTCAAGATAATATTTAATACTTTTGTATTTTTGTATTGTGATAATAAAATAATTTTTATATTTAGTATTATTTTAACTTTATTTTAACGATTGTATAACATTTGACAACTGTCAACTAACTTAAAACTAACTTCAGCCCGTTTTAAAGATGGGACTAGAAAATAGTATATTATGTATCAAGTTTTATAAACGACGAGTTTTATTAGGCACGAGCGAAACTTGCAAGCAAGTGTTTAATAAAAACGAGTGTCTAGAGAAGTACATAAAACGAGTTTCATACTCTATACTTTATTTACGACAAACGCAAAGAATTTAAAGCCAATTTTATTTTATTTCTTGTACATTTGACATCTGTCAAAAGTCAACGAACTTTTTCTCAATTAATAGTAAAGCTAACTTCAGCTCGTGAATAAAATGCCCAAAAGCCACTATTGCTAACTTCAGCCAGTTATAAATCGAAATGTATTTCTTGAAAATTTACAGTTTTTCACAGTGAAAGTAAAGAAAATGTTTTATGAGCACTTTACAGTGGAGTCCGTGCCCGAATTAAGTTATAGTTTACTGCCGGCGAAATTAAAAGGTCAGTACAATGTTCATATAAACTTTTCATTTTTATTAAGAAACTATTTAATACTTTTGTATTTTTGTATTCAGATAATAAAAATAATTTCCACATTTAGTATTATTTTACAAGAAAGGCACTTTATTTTAACGATTGACAACTGTCAACTAACTTAAAACCAACTTTAGCCTGTGCCTAAAAACCTGTTGCTAACTTCAGCCCGGGACTAAAGCGCCATAAAGCCACAACTTGACAATGTGCATTTAAAAGGTCACTTAGTGTTATGGAAAAATGTGCGATAAAGGGCGTTTTAAAAGTGGGAGTAGAAAAAATAAGGGAAAATAAATAAATTACAAAAACTAAAAAATGACTAAAATTAGGTACTTAAATGCAATGTGCCTTATTAGATAGCACTATATGCCTAAAATGATATGTATATATTTTTTAGATCACAATCCTACAAATAAGTGGTAATTAAGCTTTTAAAATGGCAAGAGAGTTTTGCAACTGATTATAGCAAAACACTAAACAAAATAGGGGTATTAGTACAAAATAGACAATGTAACGTATTTTATTAAATTTTAAAACATTTTTTTAATGTACGTTTTAAAATAATACAATTTAACACTAAAAACGTTAGGAATTAATTTAATTTATAGTTTACTCTTATTCATCACGTGAAAGTTGGGTATAATTGGTTAATTAAAAAGTCTTCATTCCACTGATCATTTCTATATTTTTGCAAAAAGTGAGTTTTGCATCTATATGGCTTATACAATAGGAGCAATTATTTAATTGAAAAAAGTGAGGTTAAAGCCGTCTGACAGATGTTAGATTTGATTGTAGTATACGACAGTCCAAATCACAGTGAATTTATAAAAAACTAAAAACTGTTTGGTCTAAAACGGTGGCGATTTAGATTTTTTTTACATGTACCTAACAAATGCTATTTTAAAACATACATTTTATATTTTTGTTATATGTAGGTAGTCAACAAGCATTTGTGATGTTAATTTTTATAAACAAACATTCATTTCGTAAATTCAATGACATAGTTTAACAAAAATATAAAATTGCAAATGACTGTTAAAAACGCTTTATAAAATCCATGTGAATATGAGTAATGAGTCATTACTAATCACCGTTAACAGTCAATTTTATACTCGAAATTAAAAGTGCTATTAAAATATTTTTTATTTTCACCGTCACATTAAATTTTTCATTTTAATATAAAACAACATAAATCTTTAAACTCAACGTGAAATGTTAAAATGTAATCATAAAGGCGACATAAAAACGTAAAATAATGTAAAATATTTAGTTAAAAGTTACAAAAATATATAATACAGCATATAAACACCTATTGATTTTTTTAGACTCACCTTACGTTTAAAACCACACTTTTCACCAAAGTCAAAAAGTTGTAAACATTCTAGGAAGGAACTTTAAAATCACCCCACATGTAGATCGCACCTACTTTACGCAAAAATTATAACTTACTGATAATTTAAGAAGAACTTTTAGAATAACAAATAAATACATTACGGAGTTTTATGCAAAATACCAATGTTGTTCGAGAAAATATTCCTGTTATTAAAATAGGCAGGAAAGCTTTAATAACAAAAACACAATGGGTTTAATAAATGGTTTATAAGAGTATATTATGTATCAAGTTTTATAAACGCCATTTTAGTTACGAATTTTATTAAGCACGAGCGAAGCTTGCAAGTGAGTGTTTAATAAAAACAAGTGTCTAGATAAGTTTATTAAACGAGTTGCATACTATACTTTATCTACGACGACCACAAAAAAAAATTAAATCCAATTTTATTTGTTAAACATTTGATATCTGTCAAATGTCAAATTGTCACTTTTCTCTAATTTATAATAAAGCTTACTTCAGCCCGTGACTAAAATGCCCAAAAGCCACTATTGCTAACTTCAGACCGTGACTAAAACGCCATAAAGTCACAGCTCGTCAATGTAGGAGTAGATAAAACAATTTATATATATTTTTAAAGTGTTCTTTTAAAAAGGTGTAATAGTATATTAAAGAACTAATGTCATAAGACGTCAGGAGCGAGTTTTGTAATGGACATGAGTTCATTATGCTATTTTATCTATTTTGCAAAAATTCTATAAAAAAATTAATTTTATACCTTAAATTTAATTTGATCGAATTTTATTTTATATAGTTGGTATCACAGTCATTGGTTTTTGAAGTTTTATTCACGGACTAAATAAATAAATGATAAATAAATATCTGATTTAAATAGTTATTAGTCTATATTTAAGAGAGAAATTTCAATTTTTACAAAAAAATTTGACAAACTGACACTAAAATTTTAAATGCTGGTAAAACAACACAGAGTAACTAATTTTGGTTATGCTCTTTTTGTATATCGCTCCATATAAATTAATTACTAATAATTTTTTTTAAATATAATTTTTTTTAATATTTAATCTATTTTTTTACTTCCACCTTTAAAACACCCATTATCGTACATGTTTCCATAATATTAAGTGATCTCTTAAATTCACATTGACAAGTTTTGGCTTTATAGCGTTTTAGTCGCGGACTGAAGTTAGTTTTAAGTTAGTTGACAGTTGTCAAATGTCATAAAATCGTTTCTTGTGAAATAATAATGTGTAAATTATTTAGTTTAGTTTCTCAATACCTATTTGAAAAGTTTATAAGCAAGTTTGTACTGACCTTTTGAATTTGCCGTCACTAAACAAGATTTAACGGAAAGCATTACAAATTTCGGGAGGAGACTTCACTGTAAAAAAATTCTTCTATATCATCATAAATTTCGATTTACATATATATACAAATTTAACATTTCGACTAGCCCAAGTAAGAAATTATTACGCGAGTTACTCTATTTTTTATAGATGTCGCTTTATACAAATAATGAATTTAAATTAATTTAGAACCACAAGACAAATTTACTTTTTGCTTGTTAAGTTTCGTGCAGGTTTTTTTTTATTTAACTAAATAAAATTGTTTAATAACAATTATTGCTTTGAATGTAATTGACCAACTGACGAATATAAGTCAACTTTTGAACACAAGAAGAAAATTAATTTCCTATTATTTTTGAGATTTCGAAGCTTTTGCCAAATTGAAACAAATCGGGAAAAAATGTCTTAAGAACACCTAAATTTTAGAATGCTATTTCTTAAAATTCATATTTTAATAAAATCCAAAAATATAAAAATCGAAATTTTTTTAATTAATATCAAACAAATCGTTTTATTGCCTTGACACTCGAAGTGGATAGACGCGTCAAGTAGTTAAAGATCCCTCTCCTAGCAGCGTATACTAGAGAAACGTAATAAACGAACCTAAGTATTCGGAAATATCGGTAATCGGTAATAAATAAATAAATAAATAAACAATCAAGTGCGGAAAGTGTGATAAGTGCAAAAAAAAGTGCAAGTGTGAAAAGTGCGGGAGATCCCCTGTTAAAGCCGTAAAAGAGTGCAACTGAATAAGTAATTAAGGCCAACCGGTCCAACTGGTCAGCAGGGATAGTCACAACCAAAGCCTGTCAATAACCTGCAGGGAGGTCCAGAAATAACGGACAGACCGTGAAAGACCTAGCATCAAGATTATAGCCTAATAATCAAGCTAAGTAATTTTTCTAACTGCATGTCTTATTAACAAAACCATTTTATTCCAAAAAATCTAAAGTAAAACGTATTATATACCGAAAAGTAAATTTCAAGCCCCAGCAAATAAACATTCCTATTGAGATAGACAACACTCAAATCATTACATAAACAAAACAGAAAAGGCAGATAAGACATTAGCTCCACCCCCCAAATAAACACTCGACTAATACCATAAATAAACGCCAAACCATAAATAATAAATAAACACAAACCATAACAAACATGGAAATAGTAAACACGATTGATCATTCGGTGGGAATAATTAAAATTCCAGCCGACGGAAATTGCTTAGTGGCCAGCTTGGCTCATCAACTAGATAATAGCCTGACTGGGTCAACAAGTACATACGCATTAAGACAATGACTAAATAACCACTTACGAACACACATTGAGACATACAGCCCATACTTACAGGATGCGATCCTTGACCAACCCCACCGCTACGCGCATAATAATGACTGGGAACGTAAAACAGAGGCGTACCTAAAGGACCACGCACAAAACGGCTTCTGGCTGGGTTTGGAAACAATAGCAGCATCGGACATATTTAACGTCGCAATCGAAATACATCACGAACAGGGGCGTACACGGAGAGAGGAATTTTGCCGAAATGGCTATCCGGGGTATTGTTGGATGACGTATCGTGGGTTTGGTCAACTGTTTTATTGGGCTGAGGATCTGTATAGCTAATTTAGCCATACAGATCCGCAGTTTAGTGGAACAGTTGACTGATTTCGCGATGCGTCGTTTGACGGTGCTTTGGATGGTTATTTTGGCAAAATTTTTCTCTCCATGTACTGACAAGATATCGCCCAGAGTCCTCCTAGAAGAAAAAATAATCACCAAACGTGTCAGGGTGGCACAACTAAAATACTGGGCACATGCCGACCCGGAGACGGACACAGAAACTGACGAACCAGAAGTAAACCAACAAAGATAGGAGTAAGCAAATAACTAACATACCCACCCCCCATTCACGAATACCAATTGAATGGGGGTACTACTAAGGCCTAGGTTCAGGAGGATTCCGGATTGTACTTAGTTTTGGGTCAGTTCAATGTCCTCCAAAAACCCCTACTAAACTGGACGTATGGCCCGACCCGGCTGACAAAAATCCCGGGAGCGGCCTTAACCTTTGACACTGTCATCCACGAACTCCTAGGGTGGATCTACCAGCCGGCGTAAAAACTTCGGATCCAACAAACACAGGTAATGCTGTTATTTGGCGGGATACGCAGGAGAACGGAAAGGGGGTAAAATAACACCGGGAGATCAGTGGATGATAATATATCTGGGGCCTGCCATACGTTCCCATACTCATACTCATACTCATACTCATACTCATAATGTCAAACAAATCGTTTTTCCACTTAAGGTAGTAGTAAAGTTAGATTTTTTATTCCTACTATGACGTTTATGCATGTTCCTGAAACACAGATAGTTGGCCACCTCCGGTAGATGGTTCACCGCTGTCGCTGTATTTTCTGCATATATAGCAGCGTGTGGCTACGAGGCACTAATAAGGCCTAAAAGACAAACTTAATAAGCTTTTAGTACATAAAACATTTTTAAATTTATTTTATAGATAGATAGATAGAATATTTTTAACTTGTATATTTTGCAGGTATACTGGTTTAGTTTTCTCGCTGTAAAATAGTGATTTATTTCAAAACAAAGTAATTAATAACTATAATAATCCTGCTTAACCCGCTATACTAAAGTTTCCCTGGAACATTATGGTATCAAGCAGATATAACATTGTTATTCTGAACCCGAAATAAATAAGATGCAACTTTAGAATCCTTTTGGAATTAAAAGGTCATTTATTTCCAAAATTTACTTTTTTAAGATTTACAAGAATTTGATAAATGACAACTTTGATATTATTTGTTATACTAAATAATATATAATTCACAAAAATGTAAAATATTAAATTGTTTGTTAGGTTATGGTAAAAATGAGTCGATCGTCCAAAACATTGTTTGCATAAAAATCCGTTCGTTCAGTATTTGTTTATCGTGCTGACATTAGAAGTATCAGTAGTGCCTGCGACCTTAGGGTCAAAACATAATATTTACTAATTTATCGGCTAAATTTTAACTTAAGATTTAAATATTTATGAATAACAGAAATATTTCCATTTAATTTTTAATAAAAGTCAAAAAAACATGTTCCCTAAAGTAACACTTCTTTTGGACAATTTAATTAAGTCCGTAGATTGTTGAGGGTTTTTAAAGGAATTCAACATTTTTAGTTATAAGAATTTGATTTATTTATTCAACTCCCATAATTTTTTATTCAACTACCACAAGGAATTTAAAGCCAATTTTATTTAATATTTTATCTGTCATCTGACAGCTGTCAAGCGGTTTTAACCTCAAATTTTAACTTAAAGCTAACTTCAGCCAGTGGGCTAAGTAAAATTTCGCCCACCGTTTAAAGTTGAAATGAAATGGGAGTTAAACAAAAACCTATAAATTAAGGAAGGAGAAACCTATAACATACAGGGTGTTATGTAATTAATGTTATATATTAAAATGGGTTGTCCCTTAGGGTCCATAAAGAAGCACCTGAAACTTTTTTTTCTAAATTCCAAAGTCTAAAAATAATTTATAATAACCTTTATCCTACCAAAAAGTACGCCACTGATCGACTAGGAACTTTAGGTTAATCTGGTGGATTTATTATGTTATGGTTGGTAACAGTGTTTCCAAAATCTCTCAAAAAAGTTGACAAACATTGTTTAAATTTAGCTTAATTACAAAAATGACAAAATTAACAATGCAAATTGTCAATTTGGCGTTTTTATTAATTGTTGGTTAT